CGCTATTAATGGCCTGGTGTTTTGCAGTCATAATTTTTATAGCAAAAGCCATATGTTTTTATGCAAAGGGATCGCGGCGCTCCACGATCGGGTTTGTTTTAATTGTGGCCAACGAAGATTAAAAGATCAAATCTGGCCTTGCCTCTGTACTCCCTCCCCTCCCACCGCCACCACCAGACACACACTTCTTAAGCGGACTATTTTATATCACAATTAATCACGCCATCAGCAAGGCGCGGGTCCCGCGTGCGAGTGCGGCCAGTGGAGCCCCTCACATAAAATTAGACAATAATTGAAGCCATAAAAAAGCAGCCAAATCGCATTCTCGCTCTACTGTATTTAAATCTATATTTATGATATTTCATAAGGAGTTATTGTTTCAGAAGCCACACAGGCTGGTGGAAAAGTTGGGAACGACCAACTGATTCGTTTGCTTCGCCGTGGCTCCCAGCTGTAAAAATTTACGAGGACTTGGAAAGGTTAAATTAGAGTGTTGCGTTTGGTCGGCGAGCTCCCTGTAAATAATCCCTGCAGCCCCGGGAGATGCGAGTTTACCCGGGACGGGCCGCGAAAAGTCTAATTCAACGCAGTATCCGTCCCAAACTGAGTCACCACCGCCCCTGCCCGAGTGCGCTGGGCAGCGACAGGCCCTGGAGAGGGCACTGCCTATTGTGGGGCCCTGAAATCTGCCCCCATGGGATCCCAGGACACCCGGGCAGCTAGCTCCTAGCTTCGCCCGCTGCGCCTCCAGCGAGCGCTCCACCGAGGAGCCGCCAGCTTGTCCCAGAAGCCAAGGGTTGGAGGGCCTGGTTGTGCCGCGGGTTCGGTCCCGGCCCCGCGCCCCCGCGCGCCCCCGCGCCCGACGAGTCCTGTGCCGGGAATCAGGAGGAGACCCAGGCGAACGCAGCGGGAGACCCAAAACTGTGCCCAGACCCCAAAGGCCCTCACGCTGAGCTCGGCAAGTTTGTCGCGTTCCCCCAACCCGAGCTTGCGAAAAAATACCCCACGAGGCAGCCTCCGTGGAGGGCGAGATCGGCTTGCGAGAAGGCAGCCCAGCCGCACAGACCGCGGGGCTCCGGGAACTGCGAGGCCCGCACGGGAGCGGTTGGCCTCGCCGCCCAGGATGGGTTCTTCAGGGCTCCTTCCTTCCTTCCTTCCTTCCTTTCTGGCCACTGCCCCGGGCCCCGCCTCGGTTTTCACCAGGCCGGACAGCCCGAAGCTGGGCGACCGCGGCTCAAGTCCAGGGCTAGATATTAAAGCGGGGAGGGGCACGGGGCATTGACTTTAATCCCATTCCTTAGCTTGGCCACATTGAGGAGGGCATTTCTCACCCCTCAGAGTCTTGCAGGGTTAAATTAAAAGGCCTCTGGTAGTTGGAAGGAAAAAAAAACCCACCCCAAATCCGAACGGAAAGCCTCGACTCCAAAAAACGGGGTAATTAAATTCACGTGTGAACACTGTGCCTGCAAGAGTGTGTTTCTCATTAGCCCACTTCCCTAGCGGCGAGGGCGGGCGACGAGGGCGCTTCCATCTCCTTTTCTGCCTTCATGCTCCCCAGCAGTTCCAGTAATCCTCCCCCAAAGCCTGATACATCCCTACCCGGGACAGGGACCCTCGAACGCCAGGCTCTCCCCTAGACCGAGGCTGCGGAGCCTGGCGGAGACCAACCGGGTGCCCCTTTATCCGCTCTCGCCGGAAGAGGGAAGTGGCCGACACAGTGAACTCCGACGTGGCTGGTCCTGGTCGCCTCAGCCTCCTCCCCCCTAATATTTTCCTTTCCCTGTAAATTCCTCCGCCTGATCCCCACCCCCACCGCATCCCGGTGTATCCCAAATATTGGGCAGTTCGCGGGTGCCTCTGAGATTTTCATTAAGGAACATTAACCCTGGAGGAAACCTCGCTCCAAATTGCAATTGTCTGCAAGCAGGCTGGATTCGCCTCATTGCTTTTTGACTTTTTGTGCCCAGAGAAGACTCGAATTATTAGTAGTATTTTTTTAAAATATATAGAAAGCCTGTTTAAAGAGCCTTAGTCCCCAGAATAGGACAGTTACCAAGTAATTAGCAGGCGCTGAGTGTTAAGCAGTCCTTACTGGTGCCTAAAAGGGAAGAAATCTCACATACAAAAAAAACTAATATTACCTCTTCGTCAGTCCAGAGACTCGGGGAGAAAATATTCAGGCTTTGGAGTCAGCTTTTATTTTGGAAATGAAAGGGACTGAGTGTGTATATAAAAAAAATAATAAATGGATGTAATTACAAACCGCCTCTTTTTGCCTGAGAGTTCTAAAACCTTGGCCTCTAAACAAATCCAATACTCTGGTCCGGAAAATGGCACAGAAGAGTTGAGGGGAAAGCGGTGTGCTGGCCTTTCAGATAAGAGGACCGCAGGCAGAGCAATGGAAACAGTTCCAGGGCCGGCAGCCAGAGCTGGGAAAGGAAGCACACACAGCTCAGTGGGCATGAGTCTCAAGGCCCCATGAGTGTGCGTTTGGGGAGCAGGGAGGGATGAAAGTTATTTTCTGTTCCAGACCAAGCATGGTTCGACTGCCTTCCAACGGTGGACTACAACTTGGAACAAGGACTCAAGTTTGTAATCCAATGGTTGTAGCATTTAGGACACCTTTCCCCTATTATTTGAAGCCGACTGGAGCTGGAAGGGTCCCTTTCTCCAGCACCCGTTCTGCACCAAGGATGCCATTTCTAACAGAGTCTGAACCTGGGAGAAGCTACTGGCAAACAAGCAACCAGTTTTTGCCCTAGCGGGGCTCCCCTACCGCGGTTAAAGCCAGGGCTGGGACCCGCAGGCAGGCCTGGGAGAGCAGAGGAAGCTTCCAGGAGGAAGCTTCCAGTTCCCCGCATAGTCAGGCTCCACGGAGCCTGGCGTGGCCTCAGCCCAGGTCCCACCCTCAGGTGCCCACTGAGGCTGGCGAAGGCCTCCTTGCCCTCGGTGTGGGCACACAAAAACGCCGCGAATGCCCCCCTCATCCGGATCTCTTAGGCTGTGGTTGCCGACCCGCCGAATAAGAACGCAAGGCCGCCGCCATCCGGTCGTGATCGTAACCGAGGCCTTGTCTGTGCAGCGACACACCAGGCCCAGATCCACAGCCCTCGACAGCTGTCCCACGCGAGCCCTTCCTTGGCAGATGATTCCAAGCCCAACTTGAGCACGCAGAAAAAAATAAGACCACCACCCCAGGCTCTCCCCAAGCCAGGTCTGGGTCCCTCCAGAAGGAAGATATGGGCAGACAGGAAGTGGAGATAGAAAACTGGGTGCACAGAGACAGAACATGAAAGACAAATGAAGGGAAAGAAAGAAGGAAGGAAGAAGTAAAGGACGGGATAAAGAAAAAGAAAAAAAGAGGAAGAAAGGAGGAAATAAAAGACGGAAGAAACGAGTCAAAGGCGACTCCTGGGAGCAGAGGGCAGCTTACACGGAGAAGGGTAAGTGACAAGGCCAGGATCCCAGCCCCTTTCAGCCCTGTCCCTCCTAGTTTGGCCTGAGTCTCTCTCAAAGGGATCTTTCCTGATCTCCTACCCTGGATTGGAGCTGGTTGGATCCCAGCCTTGCAGGAGAATGACCTGGATGGGGAGGAGGGGAGGCCCAGGATGGAAGCGGGCGCCCCTGACCTTGAATGGCGCGGGCCCAGAATCCCTACCACGCCCCTGGCGTCCGCCTAGGAGCTGCTAACCTGACCGTACCTGCTCTGGGCCAGGTGAGGATGGGGGAATGCGGCCAACAGCCTGGCAAAACGCTGAGAAGCAGGCAGGGACGAGGCTCCTGCGCGGGAAAAGCCGAGGTTGCCACCGCAGGCCTGGCACGACCAGGGCCCGGATGCCCCGCCCGGCCCGGCCCCCGCGCGCACAGGTACCTGGAGACGATTTCAACTGAAGTAATGAAGGCAGTGTCGTGCTGTCGAGAGAAAGGTGGATCCCAACAACAGGAAACTACCTAAATCACCGACCAGTTCTGGTGCTGCCCGCGCGGGGCTGCCTCGCCCGCCGCCGCCGCCGCCACCGCCACCGCCGCCGCCGCCAAGGGAGAACCCTGCGATCGCGCCCGGCCCGGCCCCTTGCCAACCTGCGCCCGCGCTGCCACTGTGTGTCCCGCGCTGCCGCTAAGGCGTCGCGGAGGGAGAAGCCACCGGCCCCGGTACAGTAAATCTGGGAGGGGGGCGGGGAGGGAAGGAAGGTAAAGGAGAGAGAGGAAAATGGAAGGAGAGGGGGAAAGCGAGAAGAAAGGAGAGCGAGCAGTGTGCGTGCTGGTTCCCCAAATCTTGCTCCTCGGCGAGCCGGCGCCAGGCGGCCGCAGCCCCGGGCGACTCGAAAGCGCCTGGGACGGCACCGAGCCCGGCTCCCGGTCTGGTCGCGGCCTCCGGCGCTCGCTCCCCGCGCCGCTCGCTCTCCCCCTCTCTCCCTCCCAGCCAGCCAGCCAGCCGGGGCGCGCGCTCCCGCGCCCCCTCCCCCTGCCGTCGCGCCCCCCCCACCTCCCGCGAGCAGGAAACGCGTGGCCCCGCGGAGGGCGACCAGGTGGGGGAGGCCGTGCTGGGGGAGGGGGGCTTGCAGCCGGCAGCAGTCCACCTAACTGCTGCCGCGGACGCTAGTGACGCGCCCTGGGCCCAGCCTGCTCCCCTGATTTCTAGGCTGGGGGTCATCTAAGACCAGGGGACCCACAAAACAACCGGCGTCTGCGAGCCTCCCTGGGGCTCCCGAAAGAAATCCTGTTTGGCTTCCTCTGTCTATGCAGCTCCCCTCTCAACTGAAACCACTGGTCCAAGACAGCCACAATCCAGATATACTAGCAAGTCATAAAACTGAACAAAAGCCGACAAACCTTACGGCACCAGGGCTATAGGGCCCAGACAAATTACGACCGTCTAGGTAATATTTAAATAGATGCCTAAAGTAATTGCAGGGGGCGCGGGCTAGTCCTCCTGTTGTAAAAGTGGTGGACGGGATAAAGTGGAAGGTGAAGATAAGAAGTCAAAAAAAGAGGTAAAATTAAAAAGCTTCATTCCACAGCTTTTATTCTTCTATAAGAACATAAACATCGTCTTTTTTTCCACGCACAGCAGCATTACAATATTAATTTATTCTGATTTAAGATTAGAAGTAAATAGAGCTAGAACTAACATTTATAATAACGATAGAATGCATTTGCATAAAACAAGATTGGCAATTTTTCATAATAATAGACATTTATACAGATTTGTATTTATAATTTTTCTTTTTCTGCACCTACAGGTTTGACCCTTTTATGCATGTAACTTCACAGTATAAAGGAAACCCAAACAATGTCTCCCTTCTCTAGTCTATTCCGCTTGCCCCAGCCCTCCTCGGATTCTGTGAATTTCGGAAAGGAAAAAATAAAAGAGGAAGAAGAAAAAAAGAAAATGAGAAAGAAAACTCTCCACAAGATAGGGAGAATTGTGGTGTGCTTGTCGCGTTACCAGTGGTAACAATTATTTAATAACAAAAAGCCCCCACTAAATCCGCACGCATAAACAAATCTACATTAGATTATTTATCTAAAGCAAGAAGGGTATGGAAATTCAGAGGTAAGTGAAATAATTTAGTCCCACAATGCAAGACCTTACACAAACTGGAAGAGAAGTTTCCTTCTCCTGATCGTTCTTTTTTCTTTTTTTCTTTTAAAGCTGGGATATCTTACAGAGGAAGGAAAGATTAATCTTTCTGACTCTCAATTTTCTAATCAGCCAAAGCCAAGCCCTTTTGCCAGCCTGCATATCCATGCCTGTAAGCCCTTCTCTTTGCCAAGGAAGAAAGAAAGAAAGAAAGAAAGAAAGAAAGAAAGAAAGAAAGAAAGAAAGAAAGAAGAAAGCCAGGGGCCTGTGTCCCCTGATTAAACACAGCCCAGCACTCCAGGCAGGCGAGTCCGGTGGCGGCTCCTTGCACCATTGACCTCAGGCCAGACACCTCAGCGCCTACAATGGGACCTCGGCCTTCCGGGCTAGGTTTGCCCGCCCCCGCAGGAAACCAGCTCCACCGGGAGGACAGGAGCCATTTCCAGCAGAGGAACCCCAAGATAGCAAAGCGGCCCAGTCACCACTCAACACTTTAGGATAATATTTATCTCTATAGAAATTTAGCACGATATGGCTTTTTCCCCCAGAACACAAGTAAACCAGCACCAAGCAAACAGACAAAGAACAAAAAGTCAGAACAAACCAGCCCTGCACAGATGTAACGGCCAGCGAGATGGCGAGTGTGGGAGGGAGGGATGGGGCTCCAGCACAGGTGCGAGTTCCTGGCAGAGGCCGAAGACAGAGGGAGGAGACCGGCTCTCTGGCAGCGAAAACAAAAAAAAAAAACCAAAAAAATGGCATTGCCTGGAGCTTCATCAGGAAAAATTAAAATTGGCTGTGAGCTCCCGGATCCGATTCTCTCGGTTCATTTTCTTCAGTTTCATCCTGCGGTTCTGAAACCAGATTTTAACTTGTCTGTCCGTGAGGTGGACGCTGCGGCTGATCTCTAGGCGCCGCTCTCGAGTAAGGTACATGTTGAACAGAAACTCCTTCTCCAGCTCCAGGGTCTGGTGCTTGGTGTAGGGGCAGCGCTTCTTCCTGCCGCTCTTTGCAGTGAGCCAGTTGGCTGCATTTTCGCCTTTGGAATTGCCTAGCATTTAAGAGAATAAGGAAGGGAAGGTTAAATAGGGGCCACCCTAGGCTGTGCGTAGGGGTGAACCTGGGACTTCTCTGCCATAAGAGGGATGCCCTAAGTCACACAGAGAGAGTTTTGCACAACCACCACCCTCCTTTAGCTAGCTCAGAAAGAGCAATTCCTCCAAAGGGCTTGTGCAAAGATGGAGAGGGCCTCCAATCTACACCAACTCGCCCAATTTACATTTTCCTCCACTTTTTTCCAAACACCTGCTTTAGCACAAAGCTGTCTGGAGCTAGCCTACGGAAAGAACGGCCTGGGAGGGCAGGCTGTATATCTTGAACTTAACACCTTTCTTTGCTTCTCGCCCCAAGGCAGGCAAGCATTTCCTGCAGCCCCCAGTCTGGGGGCATGGGTGCTTACTTGGAAGGGAGGTGAGGAGCGGGGCTTGGGTCCCATTCCTGTACCCTGATTGCCTAAGGCCCAATGAGGAGAGGAGCTAGGACGTAGTTGGGACACCGGGAAGGCACGAAAAACGGATTCGGGGTCAAGGGCCGTCCCTCACGTCTTTCCAGGAGCCAGAGACATGCAGTCTGGGCGACTCCGAGTTCCAGGGGAAGCGAAATGGCCCCTCTCTGCCTCTCAGCTCAGGGGCCCGGCGTCCGGGCCGGATTTGCCTTTTCTTCTCCCCGCAAGGAGGATTCCCGCCCCTCCAGCAACTTTGAAAAAAGCATGGGGGATCGTAAACTCGAACTTCGCCGGTTAATGGGCTTATTTATTGGTGCTGGCGGCTGCTTATTTTGGATGCCTTACAAACATCCGCGCTATCTGCGGGCGAGCCACTTTCCTCCCTCCCCCTCCCCCCCGCGTGGGCCGCGCCTCGAGGCTGGGCCCAGACCACGGTTTGGGGTGCTCGGGGCCACGGAGAAGGGCATGCACAAGAGGGGGGCTGCTCGTCCGTGCCCTCGACCCCAACTGGGGTGAGCTGAGGCCAGCGCGGAGGACGTCTCGGTGTGCGGCGCTAAGCAGGACATGAATTTTTACTGCGTCCCCACGCCCAAATATTAAAAAGCAAGTTCACAAGGTCAGCCTGCCTGCAGCTTGGGCCAAGGCCCGCCGGCTGCTGCGCGGACTCCTGGCTCTCCGCTCCTTCCCTTCTCTGGGTCTGCCTGTCTGCCCGCCTGCCTGCGGCCCTTCAGCGCGCCCTGCTTACCCAGGGAGTCCTTCTCGGGCGAGGCTTTGCTGCTCTCGGAAGGGGCTGGGGAGAGCTCCTCTGCGGCCGAGGACGACGCGTGCGCCTCCTCGTCGCCCTGGGAGCCCCCGCCGCCGCCACCGCAAGTCAGCGTGGGGGGCGGCGGTGAATCGAGGGCTCGCTCTTTCCGGGCTGCATCCGCTGAGCCGGAGGCGAGTGCGGGTGGCGGGTCGAAGCCGCGCCCGGGGGGCTGAGCGGGGAACGGGCCGGCCCCGAGCTGTTGCGCGCCGCCACCGCTGCCGTAACCCTTGGCCGTGCCATAGGCCTGGGAGAGGCGGAAGTAGCCGGGCACTGGCACCCCGCTGGAGGTGCTCAGGGCGCAGCCGTCGGGCGGCGGGCCCCGTGGGAAGGGGGCCAGCTCGGCCGTGGCGGTGGAGCCTTTGGGGCATTTGTCCGCAGAGTCGTAGAGACAGTAGGAGCTCTCCTCTTTGATGTTCTGCGCGAAAGAGCACGAGGTGGCCTGCGGCGGGGGTTGGGGTGGTTGCGGCGGGGGCGGTGGCTGCTGCTGGGGCGGCGGCGGCGGCGGCCCCTCGGGCGGCTCCATCCGGCACGACCGGGGCGCGTCCAGCCACAGGTCTATAGGCGCGGGCGCGTAGCCGTGCGCCCCGGGACCCAGGCCCCCGCTGCCGCCGCCGCCGCCGCCGCCCGGCGACGCCGCCTCATTGCGCTTGCCTCCCAGAGCCGGGAAGAGCCCACAGCTCTGCAGCCCGTAGGACAGGTCGGCGGCCGGCGGCAGGTAGACCCCGCCGTGGGCGTAGTAGCCGCCGCCGCCGCCGCCCCCCGCGCCGCTGCCACCGCCGCCGGCCTCGCCTCTGCCCGAGCTGATGAGCGAGTCGACCAAAAAAGAGTTCGCGGCGGGGCTCTCCGAGCATGACATTGTTGTGGGATAATTTGGCGAAGGGAGCAGATAGCCCTTTCTGGCTGACATTTCTTGTGCAAAACATGCTGAATACGATTAGCAATCCCCCCGCACCGCGGCGGGTGCCCGCAGCCAATCCTGAGCCAGAGTTTCCGCGCGACCACTCCCAGTTTGGTTTCGTAGGCGCGGGGCCGCTCTCCGAGGGCGCCCTCTGAGCCCACGATTGATATAAATATGTAATCTGTATTGATGGGCCGGGAGACGCACACCCAATACCTCAGCCCAAAGGCCAGGAGCTGTGGGGGCTGCCCCAACGTGCTAGTGGGGGGCCTGGCCCCTGGGCTAGCCCCGCCCACGCTCGGACGCGAGCTCTCCTGCGGGGTCTCTTTGAAGGGCCCTTGGGCCCCCGCGCAGTTAACAAGTGGGGTGTTTATGGTGCGCACCCTGGCCCGCCTTGGGTGCTCCCCATTCTTGTGTCGGAATCAGCCACTAGCCCTCCAGGCACTCTAACCATTAAGGGGGCCTGTCGGGGCCTCAGGCTCTTCCCATTCAGCTCGGGACCTGGAGCTGTCTCCCAAAAGTGGAGGACCTGGCCCTAAGGCCACCAAGATCCTTAGAGTGTCCGAGGTCCAGCGCGCACTGGAAGCTGGCTATTGCCACTTTTTCCTTGCACCCCGCACAGAATTCCCCCCCCCCAAAATGTAACGCCCTGGCTTCTCAGCCCCTCTACACTCTCCTCTGCCAGTCGTTGATCCCGTTAGGATCTTTGCTTCTGGTGTGCTCACCTGGCTTGCTTTCTCCGCAGCTCCTGTCGGTGGACCCTGGTGAGCTGAACCGAGCTGGGGGTGGGGTGGGGGTGGGGGTGGAGGTGGTGAAAGCAACTGGTAACCTTGGCTGAAAGACTCCCCTACCCCTATTCGGAGGTCAGAGCCAGATCCAGGCACCCCACAGCCCCATCATCCGGGTAGCTTTCAAGCTTATACCCCGTTTCAGAGAAGTGAAAGAAACATTGCTCTTCAGGGTCTTCAGCTGGGCTGGAGGCGAAGACCTGGAGGGGGACACTCGGAGGAGGGGGCGGCAGATGGACATCTCTGCCTCAAGCTCTCCCTTTAGCCTTGGCATTCGCACGCTCTCGGAGGTTATGACAAGAACCAGTGTCACCACACTCCTGCCTCTCCGTCCCCTCCCCTCTCCCCCCTCCCCTCCAAACCCGCGGCTGGGGCAGCCCTCTCTCCCGCGGTGTGCGCATTTTAACGAGGCCCGCGGTGAGGAAATCCGTTCCCGGCAAGGCCGGGCTGGGCTCGTGGCTCAGTTATAGCAGCGTTCGGAGGCCAGGCCCTTTGCTCAGCAGACACCAGGGCCTCTTTCTTCCCTGGCCATAGGGATGTGCTCTTAGTCAACTGGAAACCGCTGGCCCACGGCGCTAGCCCCCGTGTGGGCCTCAGACGTATCTCAGGAAATGCGACCTTTTCCGGCCCGGATCCAGTGGAGCCCAGGAGGTCGCTGACTTACCCCAGGCCTGTGCCCACATCTCTCCGGGATGCCCCAGGCCTGCCCTCCGCACCAGCTCCAGCCCCTGCAGAGGCCTTGACGGGCCGCTGAACGCAGGGATCGAAGGAAGCAGTCTGCTCAGGCCTCTGCCTACAACGGGGAAAGACCTTTGCATCCTGGGTGCTTTGCCAGGCACTTGGCCTTGTTCCTGCCATTGTGAACCTAGTCCGAGAAGGAAGCCGAGCCTGAGAAGACTCAGAGAGTACACGGGGAGAGCTGGCGGAAGAACCCTGACGGTGGCTTCTGAGATGCTAGCAGTTGCGGTCTCTGCCTGCTGTGGCTGCTCGGCGCGCAGCCCCGGCGGCGGCACCACTGCTTGCACTGCGCTCCAGCCACTTCCACCCAACCGGCCTGTGCCTCACGGTGACTGGCTCCGAGGACCGGCCTCTGGGGTAGAGAGGAGGGGGATAGAGAAAGATAGAGAGAGAGAGACAGAAGGAGAGAGGGAGAGAAAAGAAAGGGGAGAGAGGGGAGAGAGTCTGAGAACCAGTTCTCTCCAATCCAACAAGATCTTGAGGCTGCACTAGCAGCCGGAGCCGAATCAAGTCTGTGTGGAGAGATCAGGAACTGTCCTTCACTCCCCACCTCCTTCCCACGAACAAGACCAAGGCAAATTCTAACCTGGTGAAGCCCAGAGGCCAAGAAAGTTGAATAGGGAAAAGCTTCAGAACAGGGACACCTACCTAGGATCCCTCTCCGGATGGGCTTGGTCCATATCCAGCTCTCCAGGAAGATGGAACGTATTGGGACTGTTGCACTTAGCAGTGCTACTGGGAAATGCCACAAAGCTGAGGACTGCCTGAGAAGGGGGTTTACACCCATAGCACTGTCCATGCCAATCAAGAAAGCTCTGCAGAGAGTGATGAAGTAGGTCCCAAGAAGGAGAGAGGGGTTCCTTGAGAAGAATGAGTCCTGGCTGGCTGTTTGGGCCAGGGTCTGGTTCCTCTCCACACTAAAGGCAGAAAGCAACTTCCCAAGGCTGTAGGTTGGGAAGGGAAGGGCCAGTGGCCATAGGAGAGAATGCTTGGGAAGGTAGAAGCTAAGAAAATAAAGTGAAAGTCAATGATCGAAACCCATCTTTCTTTTTGAAAGTTAAGGATCCTTTGGAAAAGCTAAGGCCAAACTCTGATTCTTATCCTGTGAAAAATAGACATCTGGTATCCCCACAATTTGACCCATCATTTTCAAAGAGTCCCCAGACCCTTCACAGCCTTCTCCTTGGGCCCTCCAGAATGTTCCAGGACTCTCCGGAATTCAGCAGCCCTGCCAGTTTGACTGGTAAGACAAGCCGGGTGCCCGGCTGTAAGCAGCTCAGGCTCTGTCTGGTCAGGGCCCTGTAGAGTGACCAAATGGGCTCCTAGGCTGGATGGGATCCAGGAGCAGACAGGTGCCAACCAAGGTTACATTGTAAGGCAGTTTGGTACTGCATCTGTTTTAAGAACTTAAAGGACTTAGGGGAGGTGGAAGGCCCGCTGCAGCCTCGCAGACCATGGCATTGGCACTTGGGTCTTCACTGACCTATGGGAAAGTGGAATGTTTTTTTCCAGCCTCTTTTCTCCCCTTGTAATAAACCAAATGGGATGTTGAGTTTATGCTGTTTCTTGCTTATTTTTTTTTTTTAATGACGATGATGAGTGTGTAAGCCCGCCTGAGAGTTCCTCTCTGGCCGTGGACCGCCGCCCCACCCCCAGCGGGGCTTGCCGAGCAGCAAGCACCGGACAGCCTGCCTACGCGCCCGGGACGCGGACTGGCCTGCTGCCGCCGGTTCGGTGGAGAAGATATCTACGCAGCGCAAGCTCAAGTTAGATGCTGCTGCCCTTTCAACTGGTCTCGGAGCTCCCAGCATCCGCGACCGCCCCCAACGCTCCGCACTCCCCAGACTGTAACGCCGAGGTGTTAACTTCCTCAATAGAATATTCCGTTTATCGATCGCCAGCGCTTTGCCGAGGGTTCCCCATCCCGAGAGATTAAGAACAGCGATCCAGTTGCAGCACGGGGTCGGCCCCAGGATACTTTCCTTTAGCCCATTTGCCCTCTTTCCCTCTCTTCCTTTCGGTCTCCCTCCCAGCTGCTGATTTTCTCTCTCACTCTCAGGGTGCCTTTGACCTAAAAGTCTCGGTGTCTGCTTCCTTCAACCAGGCCTGTGTAGCGGTTCTGTGGCAGCCCCCAAGGCCCATGTTTTATTTAGGAGTAAACACCGTCCATTTCTACCTGGGTAATAACACTCCTCCTCCCCGTGGCTCTGGAGCCGAAGGAAAGGCCAGGCCAGCGGAGTAAGCTCTTTGGCTAGGATCACGATGCATTTCACCGGAGAGTGGATGCCTCCTTCTGAGTAGGCCCTCGCAAAGGACGAGAAATAACAAACTGTTACTACCCCAAACCCCCACCTCTTTTTTTCAAAATACTAGGTACTGAGATTGAGATAGCCAAAAAAGCAATTTGTATCTAAAAGTCTTTCTCAGTGCTTTCCAGGCTCAGAATTATCTGGCCGGTTGTGGAGTTGGGCTGCAGCCCCAGAGAGGAAAAATAAAAGCTACTTTCACACATCCACTTTAACAAAAATTCTGGACTTCTCTGATTCTCTCATTTACTGTATGGTTAGACATTTTTCTTTTTTGTAATCCATGGTATTCTTTTCTTGTTCATCTTTTAAAATGTCATCATTTCCAGGGAAATGTGATGTGCCTGTTTTGAATTAATCAGGTGCAATCTATCCCTAAACAACCCACTTTAAATTTTTCTCTAAATCCAACCACTAAACTGGCCCTTCTCTCCTGATGGGGGAGTGTTGGGGCCTTTTCACACACTCCCTAAATTACAATATCCTTAATTTTGTCCATAATAAAATGCCTCTGGCCTTGAAAGCAGAAGTGGTTCTGGGATTTTAGGGACAGCTTGGGCTGCAGAGAGCACAGTGTGGGTGCCCACTTGGTGTGGTTCCTGTGGTTGCCTTATTTTGGCAGAATCTGGGAGCCCATGCTCAACAAAGACTAGTGACTTTTGATAGGCAAGATTTATGCACACATGCAGCGCCTGTTTTCTCTGAGATGCCCCCCACTCACCCATGCACTATATATTTGTGAAATTAACGATTTCAAGAAACTAATAAAAACATATCAGAATAAAAACTTAAATATAAGAAAAGAGGAAAATTTAATCTAGCCTCTGAAACGTAAAGTGAAATGAATACTTAAAACTTGTTTTGTGACAATCCTGTCGGTGAGATTGTGGTCAGAGTTTATCCTCAATGCCAGCTTTTGAAAATGTATAGGTTGACACCAATATAGTTTTTGCATATTTGCAAAATATTCAAAAGACCTCATATTTACATCTAAGAAATCACTGCAAAACCCCAGCCAGGTTTCTAGCAGTACATTCCAAATAAGCAAATACAGACTTCTCTGGAAGCCTCAAAAATCATTTGCGACTTTTTTGAATTGGCCTCTTTCAGAACAAAGGTTTTCCCCAGGCCGCTGGGCAGACCTAGAGACCCCACCTAGTAGGAAACCAGAGACCTCCCGGATATCTGCCCCAGGGAATAAGCAGGCCCCAGCGGCCACGGTTGCTGACCACCTCATTGTTTAGAGTAGAAACTTTGTTTTCCCCAGTCCCGCCATCTCTTTCACTCTTTTTCTCTCTCTCTCTCTCTCTCTCTCACCCCCCCTCTCTTTTTGTTGCCAACACAAGCCCCATCCCAGTACAGCCAGAACCCTTTCGCTTGGATGCCCCCCCCCCCATCCCTGGCTCATCCCATTCTGAAAATTTCTACAAAATTGAAAGATCACCTTGGGTGAATTGCTGGCGCAAGGAGCTAACATCATCAACTTTTCCACTTAGGCCTCCCCCTGCTTTCCAACCTTAGGGAGCGATGGAAGGAAGGGGGGTGGCTTGAGCGCCTATAGCGTCACCCAGAGGGGACGGACACAGCCACTTTTCCCAGTCCTGCTCTGACATCGGCCACCTCCCCACTCCCGCCTCAGTCGGATTGGAATTGCTAAACCTGTGGCCTCTTACCTTGACACATTTCCGAAATCACTGCCAAGGGACAGCAGGCTTCTCCGGGGCGCGACGCCTGCGAGGCCTAGAGAAGGCGCGTTGCTTAAAATTACAACACCAATTACTTCTTGAAGGTGAGGCCCCCCCCTTATTTTGATACTAAGGGGAGCGGGACAAGTGAAATAATGTAACATGCTGCTCTTAGGATCAGAAGCGAACAAAGGCCAAGAATCGCGCTGGGGTTCCCGGCTCCCCGGCGGCTTTGACATTGATCGAACGTGCGCCATCTCGTGGCGGCTGAGCGACTAGGCCCGGCCCGAACTTCAGCCCGAAGCCGGGAGAGGGAAGCAGGCTCTAGGCATAGACAGAGGGAAAGAATGTGCCCAGCCCGCTGCTAAAGAGATCTCATTTTTACATCTAAGAAATTGCTGCAAAACCCCAGCCGGGTTTATAGCGGCGCATTCCAAATATGCAAATTGGCCAGCCCCGGACGGGTTTACGACCACATTGTCACAGCCATCGGAGGATGGGCTTTTATAGGGCTCAGAAATCAAACCCGCGCCCGCTCGCCGCCCGCGCCAGCGAACAGTCCTCCTGGCTTGACTCTCTCTAGCAACTTGCAAGACTTTGGTTAATCTTTAACCGTCCCAAAGGAAGTCTTTCCTTAAACCCTGGGCTTCCCTGCCCACCACTCCCTGCTCCCCAGGAGAGTCCTTGTTCACCTCTGTGTGTCTGTTCATCAACCTAGACATTCATCTAGGGGGTCTGTCCCATTCCCCCTTTGAGCTGGATTTCCCCAGTCTCGCCAGTTAGACAAACACACAAACAAATAAACAAAGCAGGGTCTGGGGTCTGGGGCCTCTCTCCAAATTCAATCTTCTCTGCAGCTCTGGCCCTGCCTGGGTGGCTAGGGAGAGGGTGGGGGTAGAGGTGGGGGGTGGGCAACAAAAGGCTCTGGCCTCTCTGCCCTGCCCCTCAAGGTTATGGGTGATGTCCAAATTTAAGGCAGAAGTTCAAAGGCAGGAAACAAAGAGTAAACCAGCATCTTTCTTTCCCCAAAGGGAAAAGACAGACTCAGCTGGGAGCTTGGGACAAAGTGTCCCTAGAGGCTCCTGGGAGTCTGTTCTTTGTACCCAGACGGGCCTCTGTCTTTCTAAAGGGATTCCTAGGGCACCCTAGAGTGGTTCCTCTTCAGGCCTCCTAATCCTGAGGAGAGCAAGCCCAGCCTGGGATCAAACTCAATGACTACCTCAAGCCCTAGGGCTTTCTCCCAGGCCTCTCTCCAGTCTGAAAGGATGAAACCCCCAGTTCCAGGTCCTGAGATACCCCATTCATGGGACCCCCACTTCCCCTCCAAAGGACCTGGCTAGTCACCGTGGCTTCCCAAGCTCAGCTTCTAGTGGAGTTAAATCCCAAGTTACCTCCCCACCCCCTCAGGGGCCTGGTAACTTGCCCCTTGGGGGGGTGGGGGGGCAGACATTTGGCAGTAAAAGGCAAACAGGAAGAGGAATGTCACACCAGAACCCAATACTCAAGTTTCCAGTCTTTATTTTCCTTGTGCCTGTCGCCTGTATACATGCTGCGACATATGTGGTGGGTGAGAACGGAGGACAGGCCAACACTCCCGCTACAAACAGAGCCACCAGACACTTCTTAAAACAGGGAGGCAGAGGAGATGCGATGGGAAGGTGCCTGGCTTTCTCAGCTGAGGTCCCCAGACCCTGGAGGGCCAAACTACTTCAGAGCATCCCCCTAAAGCTTTCCAAACATTGCAAGAAATTAAAAAGATCATTCCTAACACCCTTCCCACCCTTCCAACACCCCAAGGAAACCAACTAATGACAAAATTTTAAAAAGTATTCAAACAAAATAGGTTATGGTTCTTTTATTTACAAGTCTTTTGAACACCATCCCTGTATGAAGCGTACATTCAAATATTTTAGCAGTGAGTGAGTTTAACCGTGGAACACTGTAAACAGATAGAGCCTTTAAATATTCTCTTCATCATCTTTTCCCCCCTCTACGTTGAATCTTTTAAAATTCGCTTTGGTTCCTGCAGGGAAATATATATAATATAATATAATATTTATTTTTTAAAATAATTCCAAATGCTCTTGAGCTCTTGGAAGGTTGCCGGAAGCTTCCAAGCTCAGTTCTGGGGCACGAAGGGCAGAGTGCGGCGCCAGAGTGGTGTTTTGGGGACTCAAGCCCCTCATAGCTAGTGACCGCTGGCCAGGCCCACTGCTCCGCTGAGCAAATCCAAGCTTCGGTTAAGTGTGGTGGAGACTTTGCCAGGCTGCCGTACTCCACAGGCATTTCCTGCAGAGATCTTGGGGGCGAGCTCGGGATATCTTCCACCTCGGGGAAGGTCTGCTCTGTGACCAGGCTTTAGGCCTGAGTGGAAGTCCAGGAAGAAGACCCACATCGGTAGGAAAAACTAGGTGGGCTGCAGGAGGCAACTGCTAGAAGCTCAGGCCTCAGACAGTGCGGTGAGTGGCTAAGAGGGGTGGAGAGCCGCTAATGCCACCTGGACTAGATTTTTTTTCCCCTCAAGGATCAGCAGCCCTCTCCCACCTCATAGCCACTCTTAGTCCAGCCGTCTTTCACATTGGCTTTGGAAAGCAGCCCCACTCCAGACATCTAGGAATCCTCCCTCTTTCCTCCTGCTCTTGTCCCCAAGCTGAACTGGGTTTAAAGATTGAATAGCTTCTTGACGCAGGGGTCCTGGGGATGAGCAGGCTCCACGTGGAGGGTCCTGGGCCCAGGTCGATCTCCAGGGCGCTTGGCAGGGGGCCCAGTCTTGATGGAGACCACACCCAGCCCAAAGCTCCACAGTCTCCAAGAATGAACCACCAGGGGTCCCAAACCATTCATTCTAGTTGATGCACAACTCTCCAAATCCAATTTTTGTTAGGAATCTTAACCACAGATGCCCAAGAGAATCCCGGGCTGCCTTCTCAGAGGCTGTCTCCGTGTAGCCTCCCCTCCTTTGCACACCTCTTTTCTTCAAAAGTCACCACGTGCCTTGACCTTGTCAAGGGCAAAATCTGCATATAATCTCACGTGTATGAAGCCCCCCACCCAATTCCAGCTGGCTGGAGCCTTAGAGGAGCGGGTTGGCTGAGTAGTACTGTAAACGGTCTCTGTTAATTTTTTTTTCCTTCATTCTCCTGTTCTGAAACCAGATTTTGACTTGACGGTCGGTGAGGTTGAGCATGCGAGACAGCTGCAGGCGCTTCTCTTTGTTGATGTACACACTGAAGAAGAACTCCCGCTCCAGCTCCCGGATCTGGTACTTGGTGTAGGGGCAACGCTTTTTTCTGGTGCGTTGGCCACCTGTGGAGGGAGAAAGAAGCAGGGAGTGAGCCAGGTGTGGGGGCTGCAATCCATCCCAGAGCCCGGGTGGAGGTAAAGGGCTGGCCCATGGGACTCGAGGCCCTGTCCAAGCCCCCTCAAGGTCTCCTCAGTCCCCTGCCTTCAGGCTCCTACTGCCAGCTGGGGACAAGCTGCAGGCGGAGACTCAGCCCCAGATAAAAGCCAGCTCCCCAGATAGGCCCCCAGGGAAGCTGCTCACGCTGCCCCCAGAGCAGAAAAGAGGGCTCCTTACAGCAACAGGCGAGTTTGTGCTGCAGAAGCGGCTTTCAAAGCCACAGAGAGGGGGTCGACCGCTGCCTGCGGGCCCCTCCAGACTAAACAAACAGTGGTGTGCGGACATTTCACCTTCCAGCACCTGGGCGGGGGTTCCTGAGGCAGTAAAGTCGACCCCAACCCCAGTCCTGCCCAAGCTGCTGCCGTGACTCAGCCCTCGTGAGCATCTGAGGCAGCTGCCCGGCCTTTGTCAGCCTGAGTCCTGGCCACCAGCTCCTGCCTCCTGGACCAGCCTCGCGGCTTCCCCGAGGTGAGGAGGTGGCAGCGGAAGCCCCCAGCCACCGACCTTGCCTGAGCACCACCAGGGCCACGGGGCCATCCTGGTCCCCAGCCGGGCAGGCGTGTTGTTTTAGACGGCGTGGAGGGAAGGGGGGCTTCCTAAAGCGGCCCGCAGGCTCGACTTGCTCCCCTTTTCAATAAAACCTCACAGGAGGGAGAGAGAGAGAGAGAGAAAAAAAAAAAGCACCCGCTTTTGACAGATTGAATAACAATTGTGAGTAACTTGTAGTCGGACAGAGGCGGCACGTAATTGCCCCCGCGCCCGAGGAACAGGGCTTCCTTTGGATAAAAAGGCCAACTTTGGCTTAATTTGTTTCTTTTAATATATTGCTCTAGCTAAGCGGGCTATTTTATCTGTTAAACACGCTCCTAGCGCCATCGTTAAACAGCGATGCCTTTGAATCCCGGCCGGGACTGGAGTCCCGGCGCAACACATGGCTTTTATAAAAATCTCCGGATTACCTCGCTATCAAAGGCTCCCGGAGCCCTTGCAGGGGGAATTTACAGGCGCCCACCTCCGGCTCCCCAGCCCGAGCTGGCCCCGAGCGGGGTCGAGCTGCTGGGCTTGGGACTGAGAAGGGGGGGAAAAAAGGGTAAAAGGGAGTTGTGTGTGTGGTTTTTTTTTTTTTTTTTTTGGTTTTTTTTTTTTTTTGGTTTTTTTTTTTTTTGCAGGCATGCCTTGGCCGGTGGGTATTTCACGGCCAATTTCAGCACTCGCCACGTGATCCCGCCTTTTATAACAAAGTTTTGTTGGGGGAAACCTAAAGGCCCTTCATAAACCTTATATGCTTATAAAACAGCATATAAAAATTTAACAGCGGTGCTGCGCTACATTTCCAACTCCCCTTTCATAAAGCGCAGGGCGCGCTGCCTTTATACGTACTGGAGCCGCCGGCCTTGTCCTCAGTGTGGCCGGAAGACGACTCAGGGCTGCTGCTGCTCTCGGGGCGCCGTCGCCGCTCCTTCTCCTCCGCCGCCGCCGCCGCCGCCGCCTCCCGGCAGCCGCCGCCGCCGCCGCCGCCGCCGCCGCCGTCCGAACTTGAAGTTGCCGGCGTGCCCGTGCCCGTGGCCGCTGCCGCCGCCGCCGCCGCCGCCGCCGCCGCCGCGGAGGTCGCTGCGGCCGCCGGGGGCCCCTTGTCCGCGCTCTTGTCCCCGGGGTAGTCGGAGGAGGCGAGGTTTTCCGGGGTGCCGTAGGCCGTCTCGAAAAACTGGTCGAAAGCCTGCGGCAGAACGCCGTTCCTGCCCACGGTGCTATAGAAATTGGACGAGACGGCGGGGGTGGGGTGGTGGTAGACGTTGGCCGAGCTCTTGGCCAGCACGTCGCCAGGCACGCCGGCCGCGCTGGGCGCCTGCAGGCAGTCTCTGTGCACGAGCTCCTCCGCGGAGTAGCAGTGAGCCAGATTGCCGCGGGGGTGCCATTTAGTGGCGGGCTCAATGGCGTACTCCCTGAAGGTCACTTCGCGTACGGGTTGGACCTGGGGCAGGTTGGAAGAGTAGGAGTATGTCATTGGGCGCGAAGACGGGGTCTGGGGCAGAAAAGAAGGGAGGCTGGAGAAATCTGGACCCGAGACGTAGTAAGTACAACTTGGCAAATACATGTTAGAAGAGCAGGGACCACGCTCATCAAAATCCATCATTGGGCTACCTTGGGCTCTCCGCAGTAGCCGAGCTTAACATGATTCTCCACTGCAGCTGCCTCTTTGAAGCGGATCCGTGAAGTAGAAATTTGGAGACGTAAGCTGACGTGGAAATCTATCCCCATCCTTAGCAGGGAGGTGCTGGTCATGTGACCTGATGTTGAAATTGACAAGCTGCGAGCTGGTCCCGGCCTTTTTTTTTTTTTTATTCCCTTCCCCTTTCCTTCCCCCCCCTCCTTCCCTCCCTCCCTCCCTCCCTCCTTCCCTCCCTCCCTCCCTTCCTCCCTCCCCGGCTTCCTTTCTTTGTAGCCACCTCAGGGGAAGCAACAGATCGTCACTCGGTGTTCTCACCGAAAGCACGTAATCGCCGGTGTAACTCATGTTGGCTGGGGGGCCTCCCGGCGCGCGGCGAGGCTGGGGTGCGCCCCATGCCGCTCGCCTGTGCTCAGCTGCACGGTCCTGGCCCTCAAGTGCGCCGAGGGCGGTGAGAGAGCTCAACTCCTGCCACCCATCACTCCCCGGGTGAGGGATGCCCCAGGCTGAGGGTGGCCGGGTGGGAGCTCGTCGCTGCGTGGCCGGTGCGCGGTCCTGGAATCTGTTCTCCTGGAGGCTCGCGTTCGCACCTCCTTCTCTACCCCCCCCCCCACCCCAACAAGCTTGCTCTGGGAACCACCTCTGTCTCCGACTCCGGCCGGCCGGACCCCCTTCGGGGCCAGGGTTCACAGCCGTGGATGTGCCTGCCTCGTGGCTTGCCTGATTTGCACGGTGACTTGATTACACGCTCGCATTCATGGTCACTTCCGAAGCGCTTTAGTGCCTTCCGTCCCTAAACCGCCAACAACCACGGCGGCTTCCCCCGCGGTTTGTCAGGCATCTGCAGGTCCCGGAAGGGGCTTCGTCTTACCCGGGATCCACCTCCACTTCATCCTCCCTGCCGGCCTCCTCACTCCACCCCCGTGCCCTTGAAGAATCCCCTTCCTCCTCGCTGCCTGCCGGGGTTCGGAGTCACTCCGCCGCGCAGCCAGAGGCGTGGGGGCTGCGCCGCTGTGCACGAGTCCGCCCGCCCGCCGGGTCTTCTGGAGCTGAGGACTCGGGAAACCATGCAGTTGAGGCGAGCCTTGGGCTGCTTAGAGGCGCTGACATCCGAGGAGCCTTTTCCTGGGTATGCTGCACCTTTCCCGGGCCCACCAGGCTGCCAGCCGAGCTGCAGAGCTGCAGGAGAGGGGAGGCAGTGAGGAGGAGGTGGCTAGGGCCGGAGAGCTGTGGCTAAGGGGCAACACGGGTCCTCTTCTTCCTTGCAAAGCGTTGAGAGCCAAGGATGTGCAGGGAGAAACTCAGAAGGCTCAGCGCCTTTTCTACTACTCATCCCACGGAAGGGACACCAGGCTAAAGAAAAGAGCCGTGCTTCCCAAACTCCCCGATCGGTGGGTGACAAGAACGCCTTGAAAAGGCTAGGTTTGAGCCAAAGATAGAGACAGGGGCCATAGCTGCTACTAGGAGTCTAGCTTTCTTGGGAAAAGGAAAGAAAAAAAAAATTAGGTAGGTGAAAAACGCTTGCCATCCTGCAGTATTGAATGATCAACGTTTGGGAGAAGTGAAAGAAGAGGGCACAGAGCAGCCATGCAGGACTGGGGGGGGGGTAAGGAGGGGCCCAGAGGCCTCCCGCACCTATCTTCTTGGAAGAAGCTGGATGTCGCTGAAGGAAAGTCGAAAAATGAAAAAGGATAACCTTTTCCCTTTCCCCATCCAGGAAATAGCCGAAGGTATTTATATATTGTGGGGGAGATTTAGAGTATAAACTCTAAGATCTTTGGTATTTAAGTGTCAACATCGATTTATTTATTTATTGCTGAGCTGACTGTAACTGACTCAATAACAAATCTAATCATGTATTGCACTGGAAAAGAACTATTCTCATTATGTATTTTCTGCAAATGATGGCCCACCATTGCATTTGAATACCCGTTGTAAATATCAATAATATCAAGTAATTACTCTGCAGTGGAGTAAACTAATTTATTAGCAGTAATGTTTATGTGGCTCCTACCCCCTTCCTTTACAAGCATTGCTTATCACAAATCAAACTGCTCCGACACATTGGTTTAATGAACTCTTTATTCAGGATTTGCTGCAAGAACTTTCATACCCCTTGAATCCCTGAGAGTTGAACTTGAAATTATTTGTGCATCTTCAGCTTGACATATTTGTCCACTGTGGCTTCTGCAGAGGGCAGCAGCGGTGTGAGTAAGAAGGTCTGGTGGGAAGGAAGGTTATTTGGGGAAGGGCAGCCTGAGACCTCCTAAAGCTGGGAATCACAGTTACGGGATTGCCCTGCAGCGAAAAAACTTCGATTTCCAGCAGTGACAAACCAGGCAAAATATTTTTTTTCTCCACAGCATATCTTTCTTGGAGACAGAATATAAAAGGGAGGAGGAGAGAGGTTTGTGAACAGTAGTATCTGAGCTGTCCCCCAGCTTGATTTTGGCTCTCCCAAACTATCTTCCAGCAGCCCACCCAGTCCCCGCCACCCGAACCCTCAAACAAAAGGAATGCTTGAGGGGTTTCAGTGACTTTGCCATAACAAAGGCGCCACCATTTCGGGGCTTGCCCCGCCCCTGGGTGAAGGCAAACAAATTCTTGCACTTGTATTAGGGCTTTTAAGACTATAATTGAACCCGGGGGCGTCTAGAAGAACCGAAAACAGTTCTAGACAGACCTGGGGTTTTATAGCAGTTTTGGCAGTCAACTTCAGCTTGTGCCTGAGCAGACCGGCTGCGGTGGCCCACCAGCGGGGGACGCCAGGCCGCCTCCCCCAGCGGCACGCAGCCCCTCTCCTAATTAGATCGCTTTTCCCCTAGGTGCCAGGGAGAGGGGGTCCCCGCTGAAAGGTCAGTATGGGATATATGCTGTTCTGCATGATCGATGCCTCCCATGTCCTTGAGAGCCAAGCCGGGAGGGTGCCAGCAGGTCTGGATCCCATGGGTGTCTGCAGGAGACAAAGGCAAATTTCCAAGGAGAGGCTGAGGTGGAGGAAGGCTCCCCCAAAGCAGTCGGCAGGGCAGTTCAGAAGGCTGTACCAGTGTGGGGTGCCAAGAGGGACATGCAGGCTGGAAGAGGGTGTGTGTGTGGGTGCTGTAGTGAAGATGGATGAAGGGAAAGGCTTTTGATGCCAGGAGAACAGAAGACGCCTGGTGTGGTGAATGCTTTTACTTCCCCAGCAGAGACAGGAGGGGGTGCTCAGGTCCCCAAGGCTAAGTACCGTTCCCAGCTTTGCCCGCTCCTGCCCCTCTTGCTTGGAATGTACTGGCAGAGTGAATGTTCTGGGTGGCGGTAGCGGTGGCGGCGGGGGGGGGGGGGGGGGGTAGGGGGTGGGTAGTTGGGGATGGTCTCAGATCTAAGGATCAGACCAAATCTGGGAAGGTGGAGAGGCAGAGCTGCAGTGCCTCGGTTTTGACTTTGCTCTAAGCCCAACGGACTCCTCCGCTTTGCAGGAGGCCCAACGGCCGAACTGAGCTCACCCGGCTCAGGGGAAGACCTGACCAGTGCTAAGGCCACCCGGCAAAGCCAAGTCCGGGTCTCATTTCTTGAAGAGATCAAGCCGGCAAGGCTCTGACATTGGCCATGGCGACTGGTTGCCCATGAACTGTTCTTTCTCAGGAGCTCCGCAGCGAGGGGGCCATCTCCAGAAAACAGTCTTCAGCATGTATTTCCCTTTATCTTCCACCTAGATCCCCACGGCAGCTAATGCAAAAGGCCAAAAATGTTTTGGAGGAAGAAAAACAAAGGCAGGAAGTGGTGGCGGCCTGACGGTGCGTGTGTGTCTGCGGAGAAGGGAGGGAGCCTTTTCAATCTCTTCTTGTTGTTTTTCCAAACTTCAAGGTCTAAGCAGCCCTCGCAGGGCCGGGCCCTGTCGCTCCCCAAGCAGCGTTTGGAGATGGCCACCCGGAGAGGAGAAGGCTGGCGCCCGCGCCTGCCTTGTCAAGCGGAAACGGCTAACGAGGCGATTTGCTCAGCAAAGCAGACCAAGCCTTTGCAAGGCTCCATTTGATTTGGCCCTAAATTGGGGGTGGGGAGGATGAGGGGTTCGGCAGCACCTCCCTGATCCTCCTTGCTCGGGCTGAGTGCGCTCTGGTGGGGATGACTCCTGCGTCCTGCTCTCCACCCACCTTCCTGAGCAAGATACTGGAATAAATTGTGTCCAGGTGCCTCTGCCCAGCACTGCCGCCTCCACTTCTTTTTGTAGCGGAAGGGTGCCTGCTGGCAGTGCCCAGGCAGGGTAGCCTTGGTGCAGTGTGGACCAGGGCAATTCGAGGCTCTTTCACCGGAGGTTGTCATCCTGGGGGCGTTTCCAGCGCAATCATTTGAGGGGCATGAGCTGAAAGGACTGTCACTTGATAGGCAGCTTAACACCTGCTCACTCCAAGGGAGAACCGAACAGTGGGCAGGGAGCAACTCCAGACTCTGGGGTTCCCAACCCCAAGTGGCACTGCTGCTGGGCTGCCCTCTTTAAGTCCTTGGTGCTTGCCCAGGCACTGGGACTGGGTTATTGACCTCCAAATCTTAGAATCCCCAATGCCCGCACTTGCAGCTTCTTGACTCCTCGGCATGTTGTCAATACTGTGAGTGCCAATACCAGGCTGCCCTCTCACCACATTCCCTCCTTAGCTGAGCCTGTCTCCCTGCAGCTCCTGCTCGCCTGTTTCCCCATCATCCTTTTTTTTGCCAGTGGAGTGTCCCCTTCTGCAGCCTTCTGCCTTTTCTGATGCCCCTCCTACGCTGAGCAAGACCTGAGGTGCCACTGGAAGGGCACCAACACTCAAGCGCAGAGAAAGTGGGCTGTTAGGTTACTGACCCCCCCACACACACACCAGGTTTAGGCCTCCACCAGGGACCTGAACTAGATGCTCTTACCTCATTCTTCTGAACACTCTTTCCAAGGCTCTACCATGTCCTTTCTCTCTCTCTCTTTCTCTCCCTCACCAATACTCCCTCCTTCTCTT